AGGCCAGTTCTTTTTTTCTTGCGTTCAGAAATGATTGAGATGACGAACTGCGCACAATTTGTTGCGATCGAACAACGAAAAATATCATGAGCAACCTTTTAATTATGTATCATTAAGCTTTAAAATCATCATAAAATGCAAAAGGCGTTGTACGTCAATAAAATGTTAAAACAAAAAAGAAACGAAGTAATTAATTAAATGTAAATGACTAATAAATGTATATGATTCCAAGCAGAAAATTAGTCAAAACTTTGGCAAATGGATATAATGTGTGTGTAGCAATGTCGCATTCCAATCATTTACGCACATGAGTGAACAGCTCGTGGTGTTGTTCGCTCAACTATTAAGCTATTGAAAGAGTCTGTAAATTGTTTGCATCGTTGTCAGGAGACTTTAGTTCCACGAATGTTATAAAACACACAAGAAGATTAATATCGCACATTCGGATGTTGGTTCACTTTTATTTTGCGATGTGTTTCTTGTTTCCATTTCAATTCTTTTTTTTTATCGTTAATTTTTGCACAGAAAAACCATCGAATGACGTTTGGATCGTGCTTGTCTTTCTCAAAACCGAAAATTCTTGAAAAAAAATTTCTCGTATCGCGCGCGCAGCAGCCAAACCAACATCGTACTGCCAAGCATTCCGAAGATTTCAGCGCGCGCGCTCAACATTTACACGAATTTGAGCCGAAGAGCTGATAAACGAAAACGATCGAAGAAAAACACGAAAAATTTCCAAACCGATTTATAGAAGAGAATAAACGGGGAGAATAAAAAGAAGATTTATTCAAAATCGAAATTAATCATAAAGAGGAAAAAAAATCGTAAGCACCAACAATAACTGAACAAGAACTAAGGGAAAAAATAGGCATGTAAACTGGATAAAAAACACAAGCGACGCGCGAGACAAAACGATAAACTAAACTTGTTGTAATAATGAAAAAAAAAACGAGCCGAAGAAGAAAAAGGAGAAGAAAATCGAACGAGAATTGAGGCGAAAAAGAGAGAGAAAAACGACGAAGACGTCTTTCTTTACGAAAGCAAGAAATATTGTCTTGACATTCATGAGCGAGCGCGTTGTGCACCTCTTTACGCCAGCTTCGGTTGGTGCAGTTGTTAGTTTTGTCGTTCTCCAAAAATAATTTTTCTCCTGACTTTTTTTACTCTTCTCGTTCATTCAAACATTTTATTTATGTCTTGTTTAAACGTTGAAAAAAAGCAGAAGACGACGAATTTGGGAGTAAGTAAGAGCCAAAAATGTTATTAATTATTAATAAAAATTGGCTGAAAATAAAAATAATACTGAACGTATCTTCGCTTTAATAAATTATTGATTCTGTGTTGTTGTTGTTGTTTTCTTCTCTCGTTACAAAAGACTCTCTCATTTGACCACTCTGCTTGTCATCGGCGCGCTTGGATTTTCTCTCTGCGTTTTTTACACGTGACTTCATCAACTCAACTCATTAGTATCGCACACACAAAGGATTTTTAGTCCATCATTTCACTCTAACGGCAATCAGACTGGCAAAGAGTTCCATTTGAAAAATCGATGTTTTTTCTCTCTTGATCCCGACATGATCACCCAAAATATTATTTTTTAATTACACGTATAAAAGTCATTATAATTGATATTTTGGTCAAGACTTTGAGCACTATAGTTTCACTTGGCCTTGTTTCAATCATTGCGACAAAATAAGAATTCATTTCGGTATTTAAAATTAGAATATTTCAATTGAAATAAATTGTTACAAATTTCTGTGTTGGCCAAAGATGGCAATCCTTTGTTGTATGGCCAATTTTTCATGTGACAAAGTCTCAGGTATGATAAATTGTGAGCCACCTGCATAAAATATCTGATTGTACCGCGCTCAATCACCATGACGCCGTCACCGTTTTTCGTGAGGTAATGGACTGACAGAAAAGAGGCACTTTCTTTTGTTTCGGCCAAGGTATTGTGGCATCATCCCAGCGACGCTACTTCGTATCACAAAAACAAAAGGCGGCTTTTGTATTGCTTCGTTTGAGCTTTCAGTTTGTCTGCTGCGGTTTTTTCCCCTTAATTCACAATCTTATTGTTTGTGTAGCAAACCGTCGCTGATTGAATACAAAATATCCAAAAGGAGTAGAAAAAAAACAAACAGTTCAATTTTAAGTAGGCTCAAGTATCGATGCGCAATATCGAAATATTTCTTGCTTTCGGCAACTGAAAATATTGAATTAGCTTTTGAGCAATTTATTCGGCGCAGTGTTTTTTTTTTGTCTGATTGTTGCGGCTACATCAAACTTGTGTCTGCTTCTGCTCCCATGTTCGGTAGTCAATTACGTTCAAGTAATTACGTCGATATTGATTTTCATTACTCGATCAACGTCGGAACACATTTCCAAACTCGTTCGGCAAGATGCACATTTTCGCCCCGCAGCAAACAAAACAAAACAACGAAATTGTTGCTTTGCCATTTTCGACCGCAGTTGTGGTTAGTTTTGCCAACAATTCGACTAATCCGTTTTTCTATATTTATATGCCTTGTCCGTGTGCCGGTCAATGAACAAACTATTTCTATTATTTTCTTTACACAAAAAAAAACGGATGGAAAAAGTTTCATTTTCTTCGTCGGATATTTCAAACGAGCCCTGGCCAAACAATGATGAAAACTCTGCAATTTTATGCAATGGAAGTGCTACCGAACGTAAGTGAACTTGTGGCGGCGTGTTCTTTATTCGATTTTTCGTTTGTTGGTTTTTGTTGTTTACGGCGACATTGCATCGTTTCTCTTTCTTTCTCCCGTTCAGTTCCTTTTCGTAACTTATGTCCAAGCATCGAAATCACCCACAAAAAAAAAGAAGAAGAAATGTGCCAATTCGTGAATCCGAAATTGAGGTGATGCTTGGTTGCCTTTTGTGTTGTGCGACAACCGAAAGGGAATTAAGCAGCATAAAAACTCCTCGAATGAATGGAATCGAAATGGTAAAATAAAAGCGTAGGCATTAAGTAGACGGAGTATTTTTTTTCTCCCCATCTTCTTGACATGGGATTAGAATTTTTGCACAACACAACGGTGAATAGTAGAGAGGTGAGAGAATCCGTACACGTACACACAAAAACACACCCGTATTGTGAGCGCTGCTTTAATCTTTTGGCTATTGGAATGGAATTGGCAACCGTTTTTCCTTTTTGAGTTGCGTCGCTCCGAATATCAAGTAGTTGTAGTTCATTATTTGGTGCATTAGACATTGATTCAAGTAGTTTTGAACTAGTTTTCTCAAGCATTTCGCATAACAACAACAAGAACAACAGAAGAATACGGATTCCAATTTCAAATGATGTTTTGTTGTTTTTGCGATTATGCTTGTTTTTTCTTGCCAAATTCCAAACACTTGACGACCAAAACACAAAGCCATTCGCAGTGAAGAGTGTTTGAGATTGGAGAGAGAGAAAAAGAGAAACATTGTTATTTATTTCGTTGGGATTTGTTCCTTTTTTTCGGTTTTAGCACAGATTTACGAACAGTGTGTTTTCACCTTTTTTGTTTATTCGGTTTTGAGTTGTTGTTTTTTGTTGTAACTCACTCCACTTTCGAATGAATCCAATCGGCCATTCAATCAGTTTGTGCATTGATTGCCTTCTAATAGAGACGGGTGTAATACAACAAGGATTTTTGTCACAGATAAAAATCGCTCGAGAACGTATCTCACTTCTCTTGCAACGAACTGGCTCGGATTTTAATCAGAGTGACACCGAAAATTAGTTTTAAATGCAAAAATCGTTCGGTTTTTAAACTATTTTACGGGATTATCATTTGCGATAGCATCGCTGATGTGGCCAATGATAGCAGAACGAAGTCAGTTGGATTTGAAACCGATGTTTGGTGAAACTTGAGAAACCAATAAAATTATATGAACTTTGGCACGTGATCGAACCATTCTGGTAGATTCTATCTGAAAACCGCATACAAAGCACGTTCATTGAGCGTTTTATTTTTTACCACAAATTTACATACGATCCATTGAAATCTCAATGATTTCTGTTCGCTTTTTTTTTCTTTGCTTTACACTACAGAATCCGTGTTCACTTTGACTTTTTATCCTTTGTTCGATTTGACTGTAATTGGAAATGATTTTCATTGTTCGACTGCATCTCTCGAGCCAGAGTGTGCTCTCTTTTGCTACGCGTGAACAGAGAGCGGCACAGAGAGCTATTCCATTGAATGAATATATGACGAATGCGATAAGAGATGCACGTGCGGACACTTGCCTAATTGACTTTTTGTCTGCATGCACTCGAATTAAGCATAAACAAACATTTCGATTATAATGTGATTGAATGCTCATTAGAACTGATTTTTGTGTGTGTGTGTGTGTAACATTGCGTATTAATGAGGGCGTTTCAAAGTTGTTCTCTCTTGTTCAGAGGGGCAGCCTTCACATAACTGCCTCGAGTCACTTGAAATGTAGAGCGTGGTAAATTGGTAAGAATGTAATTCGAAAGAAATTAACATTTGTACGCATTCGGGTCGATTTGGAAGGATCGATTCAGATTTTTATTTTTCACTCGCCTCTTCTTCGGTGCATTTTCAATACTTTCATGGCTGTGTCATAAATGACCTTTTTCTCCGTTTTACGCTCGTTTTTGCTTTGTCGATACATTTCTTCGAACAGATCCATAAACCGAAAAGTGAGCACAACGACAATATATCCGTAGTTTACACCTACAAAACGCAAGCCAGGTAAACGAGCTGAATTGATTTGTGTAGTATCACTTACATTCTCGGAAACATAAAGAATTTTGATTTTTTTTCGACGTTTTTTTTTCTTCTTCTTTTTCTTCGCTTGTTTGTGTATGAGAACAGCGATTTTTATTTCTACTTGACTTGATTTACAATGTAAACTGTCAAAAAAATATTTAATTTTGAAGAGAATATCAAACCAATTTTCATGACTAACAATCTAGTAAAAAAAAAAAGACAAATTGTGGTAGAAAACATTTTTTTTTAGAAACTCACCAGTATGGGTGCGTTTGTGAATTTTCAGGTTTTCCGATCTTGCGAAAACTTTGCCGCACCCAGTGAATGGGCACGCGAAGGGTTTTTCGCCCGTGTGAACGCGAATATGGTTGACCAACTTGTATTTGGCTTTGAATGGTCGTCCATTTCGTGCACAACCAGCCCAGAAGCAAGCGTGTGTTGTACACTCTGGCCCACCGACGTGTTCCACCGTCAAATGTGTAACGATATCGTGCATTGTATGGAATACTTTGCCACATTTGCGTCCTGCTCCCGACGAACCGTTGTTATTGTTATTGTTGTTTCCTAGGCTGTGGAAGTGTGGATGATGTGGATGATGGTGTGAGATAGTGGTTGTTTCTGGATCAACCCATTGGCATTGCATTTCTTGTTTGATCGGCTGACGCATGTATCGATTGAAAGCGCCTGCACCAGCTCCCGAATTCATTGGGAAATAGGCAATGTTGTGGGCATGCATTACCGATGCATAATTGTGTTGTGCATGTGAATGGTATGGATTATATTCCGGTGGAGCCGCACCAGCCGATGGTGTAACGGATGAAGTTGCTGGCTGTGGTACCGGTGCAGCTGGAATCTGTCCGCTGACCGATGAACTGACTGCACCACTTCCAATGCCCATTCGCATTTGATGCTGATGATACGAACTGAACTGGTTTTCATGCATCGCATGATGCATTCCCGTGAACAATACTGGATCTGGAGTGGCAGCAGCGTTTGCCGTTTGGCCAGCTATCGAGAAATAATCTTGATCACGTTTTAACAAATAATCACGACCGTATGTTGGATATGGAGCCGTTGCAGCTGCACACGGACCATAGCTGGATGCTTGGTAATTTGTGTTGTTCGAAATACCGACGGCACTGTGATCACTGCCACTTCCATTCATCATACCCGATGAAAGCATACCACTGCCAATATTTTCGTTAGCTAACGATGGTGGCGGCGACATTTTCAAACCATAGCTCGCCAATTGTGCATGATGTGGAGGAGCCGTCGGCTCCATAAATGCATTCATCATCATGTTTAATTTGTCTGTTTTTTTTCCCTTCAAAACACTAGTCAAAATTGTTCTTTCAAAGTTTATTTTTTCTTTGTTCCAATGTTTTGCTCACGAAACTAAAATAATATTTAAATTTATCGAAGGATAGTTTATTTCAACACTTGATGGTTCTTTTTCTAAAAATGTTTCACACTTCTTTCAAATTGTCTCCAAAAACAGAGTCTTGTTAAATGTTCACAAGCACTTTTCGTTCACCACTTGAACTGATAAATTGTCTTAGTCATAGCAAATAATCCCAATATTTTAAGTTATGATCGAAAGAGAAAAAATTTCAGAAGAAAAAAAAATTCGTTAATTTTTTCCGAGTGAAAATTTGAAAAACTTCTAACACACTACTGAGATGACATTTGAAATTCACGAGAGAGAAAAAAACCTAATTCTTGTCGTGCTGTCTTGCTGATCTTTCAGTTATTTTTCCTGCTGCGATGCGACTCGCTTCAACGACGAGAAAAACAAAACTGGTCATACAACAAACTGAAGACACACACTGCGACCCAAACGACTCAAAAACGGTATGCGTGCCTGCATCGAATCGTATTCAACACTGAAGCTCTTGGCATCGGCTAGGCAAGGATGAAGAGTGAATAATTTGTGTATTCGAAAGAAATAAGCAACACACAACACGCACACCAAGGCAAACAGTACGGCGTATAACGTAGACGAAAATAAATGTGAGGAACGCATGGGGCAAAAAACACACAAAGCAAACACATTCAAGCAGCGATCTCACCAGCAGAAGTGCACAGCAAGAACGAATCCACATGAACGTGAAGCGAAAGTAACGTACATTACTACGATGTGATGGGCGGCGCTTAGCCGTACCATTTCACAATATTGTTCGTTTTCTCTTCATTCGGTCTTCCATTTTCTGGATGCGATTGGTTCTGATTTGATTCTTGTGCTGTTGCTTTTTTCGTGTATTCAACATCGTACGGCTGTGAATACAGTCGCGTACCGAATTGCGCAAGCTCACCCAACAAGCGATCGAACGCGTTGGATGGAAAGAGAATCGAAATTCGAAAACTGCACGAAAACTCGTCTACCGTAACGAAGGCACTGGTTAGACGGAGATAAGCGTATTGAACATTTTTCGAACAGTTTCTTTGGAGACTTTTCGTGGAAATTGTTCGAGCTATGCTCGTCTCTAGGTTGATTTTCTTGTACATAGTTTGTGTTTTCGATTTTTGAAAAATGTTTCTGACAATTTTTTTTGTAGAAAAATGTTGCATTTCCAATTAAAATCCACTCAATTTAATTAATAAAAATTTCAATAGTTGCATTTAGCAGGAGTTATGCGTTCAATTGTGCGAAATTCACAAGGAATAACGGCGACACAGAGAAAGCGTGGAGATCTCAGCAAGCCTGGTGATTCGACAACAATCCAGCTGTGTGTGGTGGTGAGCGCGTGTGCCAATGATGCGCTTTGCGATCGCTAATCGAACTTCACTCTCTCTCTCTCTCTCTCTGTCGCTCACTCACCAAGTAGACACAACGAAATTGTGGGCGAACACATGTCGTTTGGTTGGTTTCCGGAACGGACCAACTGCAATCGGCCGCACAATAATTCGCTCAATGAATTTCTTTTATGTCGAGCAGCAGCAGCAGCAGCAGCAGCAGCAGCAGCAGCAGCAGCAGCAACATTTTCGGTGACTTTTCCCATTCACTTTGTTCGGCCGTTCGTTCGTTCGTTGCCTCATTCGATCGTTGTGTTACACAACAACAGCCAACGGTGGTCAGTGCAACGGGTGTATTGAGTATGTTGTTTGTAGCACGTTTAAGTGTAATGATACACAGCTCAATGAAATGCTGTTGGTTGCATGTTTCCTTCATTCTTCCGTTTATGAACGTGGCAGCGACTCGGTTTCGATTTGCTTGTGGTTTTACATCATTCGTAAGTAATTGTTGAGAGTGAGACGAAGCGTGCGCGTGATAATGAAAAGGGCGGTCTTACCACAAAACATAAGAAACTTAGTTGCTATATTGCACTGTAATTCATTTTTTTCCCTTAATTTGTCCGAGCTTCTAGAATTGATTCATGCAAATCGGACCCCAAAAAAACTTTTCCTTAATGGAAATTAATCCCAAATATGAGTCATTATTATTGCGGTTTTCTCGAGTGCTTTATGGAATCGATTCCATTTGAAATATTCAATTCCCCAGTAATTTTCATTCACTCGGATTTGCGGTGCCGTAATAAAAAGTGAAAATGAAAATCTGACCACAATATGATGCGGTTTTAAATTAGGATGCAAATCTTGGTTGTGGCGAATATTTCACTTATCCAAAGGTTGTGGACGAGTTTAAAGGGTTCCAGCAAATAATTAGGCTAAGACAATGTGATTTTATGGTTTTATTGCTTAGAATTAAGTAAATGAAGAGCAAAGAACATGTGATTCGGGCACTTCATTCAGCGGAATTTCGCACAGGACACTTTTTGTTCCATGCAAATGAACTTTTATTGCATTCTGGTTGAAATACCGCAGAAAACAATAGGCCACAAAAATTAGAACGATATTTTTACCTTTGATTTTTCACCATCAAGACGAAATTGACCTGAGAAAACCGATCCGGTGACCATGTCGAGTAAATGGAAATGCCAAAGGTGAACAAATCACGTAGAGGAAGACACAGAAGCTGCTAAAGTATTTAATATATTTATGACATTTTATGGACGGATTAAATGTTCTCATTTTGTGTTTTGGCCTCAAAAAGAAATAGAATTAAATGGATTTTCATGACTTGCCTTAAGCCGAACACCGAAAGAGTTAAAAGACCTTGACGAAATATTCGAAATGGTTTTGTGATCGTCAAAGTGAAACTTTTCGCGTTTGGTTGCCGAAAAGTATGAGAATAACTCAAGGTATTCTGAAAAAACTCGTAAAATAAATTGAAATCGAACACATTTTTATGTAGTTTCGTAGGAAAAGGCATAAAAAAAGCATCCTTCCGATTAGTTCATTCAAATGGTTGTTTTTTTTGGCCATTAAAAAACAAGAGAACAAGCAACATGAGGACCAAAATCAAGAGTAAATTCATAAACATCGAATTTTTTTTTGGCATAACATATAAACATATCCATTTCACAAAAACTAATCACAGATCATAAAGTCATTGTCATATCCTTGTTTCTCTCCCTCTCTTTCTTACCTTGCCCATTCTTTCGCCGATTCATTGGAAATGGGATTGAAAGAATGTGTAGAGATGAAAAACAAATCACAGCATTTGTAACCAAATGGTGAAATGAACGCTCATCGAATCAGGTATATTTGTCGGAGTGTCAAAGTTTCAAATGCACAATCGTGAAATAAACAACAACAAAGAAACATATGATTTTATGACTTATTTAAAGAACAAACCTCGCATTATGATTGCAATTTTATGATCATATTGATTGAATTAACTTCGAAGAATTTTGCTTCGCATTTCACATTTACCAAAAAAATCACATACATTCCATACACGCAGCAAAAATGCTTTTATTGATGCGCACTAAAGAAATTACCATTATCCTTCATCTGTTACGGAAAATTCGGAAGAAAAACAAATGTCACCCTCCTTCGATTTGAAGGCTTCAAATTGAAGCGAGTTTGTTTCATGTGCAATTCTCAAGCTGCCTTTGGTTCGACTTAGCTCCAATCTTCGGATGCATCGCGCACTTTGCGCGGCGCACATCGGCCAATTCGGCATAAGTTCCCGATTTAGGTAACTGTGTTGTTTTGCTTAATTCGGTAAACAATATAAATCGGTTTGCAATCACTTAGACATGATAATGCTGTTACAGAAATGTGATTTCCCAAAGGATTTTCGTTGTAAAACCGTCCTAAGAAAATTTGCTCACCGCATGCAGCAGCATTCGGGCAATGAATGCGAATTGGTTTTGTGCATATTTATTTTTTTCTCCTTCCATTCTTTCATATTCGCATGAATCGTATGTGAAGGCGTAGTACATAAACAAAGCAACACAACGATGAGGGGTTAGGCACAAGGCAACAGGCAAAACACTGAAAAGCCGATTATAAAATTAAGAGAAAGGAGGCAAAGGCGAAGGAAGCATTTTCTGCGCACTGATGAATGATGTTATGTATTTACGGTGATGTTTTGATATAACTCAGTTGGATATCGTCTACGCTGATCAATTGTTCATTTGTGCAGTATTGACACGTCGAAGATGTCAAAATAATATCGATGTTTGCAATTTAACAATTGATTGTGAATTGTTTCCAGCGAATGTCATGTGTGCTAATTAACTGTCTCTTGTGGCTTATTTCAATGCCGGAGTTCTTGTGACACTATTGGTTATGGCCTCGAACGGTCAGTTTTGTCCGGTTCTCCGTGGTCAATCGGCGAATATGAAGAATATGCACATTTTATGAAAGATTCATTTGTGTGTGCTATTCTAACAGGATTAGGAAATTTATCTGCGAAATATTTCTTCATCTTGTTACACCGAAACCAAGAGCTGTTTATATTTTGCCATGCATTCCTGTGCCGAGACTCTATTGTTTCAAATTTGGCTCGGCCAATTGACTTTACCAAAAGAAAAACACAAGAAAAAGAAAAGATCTTCGTTTTGGAGTTTCCACCTACTCTATATCCCATTATCGGATGTGTTGGCTTTGTCACTCCTCATGCGTCGTTTGCGGAAAGGATGTCGAATGCAATTTAATCTGCTTGTTGGCTCTTATCTCCTCTCTACCTTTTGCTCACGATAAAAAAAGCCCGAACGAAAACAAACAAACATAGACACTGCTTTGTTCAGCACAACGTCTGTGGTGCCTGTTGCCCAGCATTAAAACTGTGGAAAAAGAAGGAAACGAGAAAGAAAATTGTGCAATTCCCAGAAGTCAGTTCAGAGATTTTTTTTCTCCTTCTTTTTTTCGGTATTCAATTGCAATCTTTGCTTCGACTGTATGTGCATGTGCAGTACTGTAGACGTATACTATATTCTGGTTGTAATATGCATACAAACATTTATTTGGCTTTTGTTGTCGGTTTTTTCTTCTGGTGTTCGTCTCTGTTTCGTTCGTCTATTATCTTTGTGCGTCTTCGTTTTGGGCACAGGCACAGTTGGAGAAAGCGAGAAGAACATACGAAGATGACAACAACTATGCCTTGGTGGTGGCAAATCAAATGGTTTAAAGCAAATTGACTTTTGCCTAATTTTCGGAACATTTTGCATTCACAACGAACAGACGAAGCAACAAAATCAATTTATTTGTTCTAGGATTTTTCGTCCATTCCAGAATGGTCCGAACCACTTTTCGCTGGAATGGTAAAATGGTTTTCCGAAAAATCTCAGCACTATTTCTGTTCGACTGCCATTCAGTGCACACACAAAAAAAAAATTATTTATGAGGCAATAAACTCAAACTTTGTACGCCTTTTGTGCCCACTAACAAGCCTATAACTAGAAACCGATTTTGGCCAGAGTTAAGGGATCAAGGAAGTTGGATTGGATTTTGTCCATTTACATATGTGCAAAATGAAAAGGAATTCACTTGAACGGAACTTCAACGAAATTCCAGAAAAATGTTTTCTTCCATTTT